AATTTTATTTGTTTTATTTTGTTTCCGTAGTCTCTAAATCCGTGGATCGCGACGAAAGAGCAAGGAAATAGTTATTTTAAGTTCGAGCCAAAAAAGTGCACGAAGTGCAATAAGTGCACGTGCAAAGTGCAACAGGCTTTGATTATTATTTAGAGTATCCGGATGCCAGGATGAACCGGAAGTCATTTCGGGGTAGTTCGGATCAATTCTATTTAGTTAGCACGCCGGAGACAGAAAGTACATCGGGTGCATACATCGGGAGAGACTCTCGATAATTTATTTAGTTTAATTCGTCTCGTTTTAGCGTCGGACAAAGCTGGCCGCAGCGCGCGGACACAGCAGATTATTTTAATATAATTATTATTTAAGACTCGTATGAGTTAGAGTGCGAGCAATTATAATAAGATGCGCCGAAATCGGCCGGTTTTGCGTATAGACGTCCGATTATACCTGCGTATTGTAAATACTTAGTTGTTAAGTATAGAGTGCACAAAGTGTACTAAGTGCACATGAAAAGTGCACTTACTAAAATATTTTATTTTACATCCCCGATGATGGGATGTCGACCTAGGAGGGTCTGGGACGCGTTTCACGTGGTTTCCAAAATTTTGAATAATTTATTTTATTTTTTACGAAATGTTGATTTTCGTTCGGCGGGCTTCCAAATAGTGTATCTCGTCGAGATTTTCGCTTTTCGCGAAATTTTCAGTTTTAAATAATTTTTTATGAAAATTTTATTTTCATTCGGGGGGCGTCTAAGTGACAGATCTCGCTGAGATTTTCGCTTTTCGCGAATTTTGCTTTTAATTTAGAAAATTTTTTATGAAAATTTTATTTTCGCTCGGAGGGCGTCTAAGGGACATATCTCGCCGAGATTTTCGGGAATTTTTCTTTTAATTTAGAAAATTTTTTATGAAAACTTTATTTTCGCTCGGGGGGCGTCTAAGAGACATATCTCGCCGAGATTTTCGCTTTTCGCGAATTTGTCTTTTATTTTAGAAAATTTTTTATGAAAATTTTATTTTCGCTCGGGGGGCATCTAAAGGACATATCTCGCCGAGATTTTCGCTTTTCGCGAGATTTTTCGAAAAATTGGAAAAATTTTTCGAAAAAAATATTTTTGTCTTAAAAGCGTTAAAAGGACGTATTTTGTCGAGATCTCGAGTTTCGCGACGATCGAAGTCGTTTTAACCGAAAAGTGCAGAAGGTGCACTAAGTGCACTTTCCAAAAAGTGCATATTTGCGTTCGGGGTGCCGTGAGACACGAAACCCCAAAGTTTCGCGTCGATTGCGCGAAAAATAATTTATACCTGTTAGTTGCACTTAGAGTGTAAGCGGCGCGCTACCTCAAGTGCATATAATTAATTAATTTGTTTTAGTTATTTTGGCTCATGAGAGCACCAGCCAGAGCCGATCTGCGTGATACGCATAGCGATTGAAATAATTTTATTTTATTTTAATTGCACCTCAGGTGCGGGATGTGCACACTGAAGGTGCAAATTTTTGTTAATTTTTATTTAGCATGTAAAACGCAGGGGAAGACACCTTGACGTTGTGCGGCGCGTAAAGCGTATTTTTGTTAATTTAATTAATTTTTTTATTATTAATTTTTTTTATTAATTACACTTGTGATGTGTAATTAATTTATTATATTTGATTTTGTAGGGAGAAGCGAGCCCTAATATTTTAAAAGCGCATAGCGGCGTTTTATATTATTTCGTATCTGCACCATGAAGTGTAGGAAGCGCGAATTGTAAGCGCTAATTATTTTAATTTAATTTATTTTAAATCGAAAGGAATTAGGCTCGTTACATATTCAATAACATGATAAGAAAACTAGCGTCTACGAGCCACAGAGGATGGTAAATGCCTGAAAAATTCTTTTTAATTGTACGCGAAATTTTAAACGAAAAACACGGCATATGCATATATTTTACTTGGTGCATTTAACCAAGATATAGATTCCCATTTTTGAGAAATTCTATACAACCCTCTTTACGTACAATTAAAAAGACTTTTTCAGGCATTTACCATCCTCTGTGGCTCGTAGACGCTAGTTTTCTTATCATGTTATTGAATACACAGGGTGTTCAAAAAGTCCCGGTACGGGGGAATAACTCGAAAAGTAAGAGTCGGACAAAGAAACTTTTCGGACAAAAGTTGTAGGGCTTACTCCGAGCTTTTATCTCGTGACCTTGAGTTTGACCTTGAGCTTGACCTTCAAGGTTATTTGAAGGTCAAGGTGTTTTTTTAAAATAGGAACCCCTATTTTTGATTATATATTCTTATAGCTGACCTCGAGAGCTTTCCAAAACACTATAATAAAATATTTTTCCCTCAAGCATTTATCGAGTTATGAGGCTTCAAATCATTTCTTAATTTTACATAAACCGTAAAATATCTTGTAAAATATTCACTTTTCGATTATTTTACCTTAATACTTTTATGTACAAAATAATGAGAGGAATCAATTGGTCTAAAAAAACACATAATTGTTCCGAAGAAAAAATATGTAATTTGCAATTAACAATTACATATTTTTTCTTAAAAACAACTGTATGCTTTCTTTACACCAATTGATTCCTCTCATTATTTTGTACATAAAAGTATTAAGGTAAAATAATCGAAAAGTGAATATTGTACAAGATATTTTACGGTTTATGTAAAATTAAGAAATGATTTGAAGCCTCATAACTCGATAAACGCTTGAGGAAAAAATATTTTATTATAGTGTTTTGGAAAGCTCTCGAGGTCAGCTATAAGAATATACAATCAAAAATAGAGGTTCCCATTAAAAAAAAACACTTTGACCTTCAAATAACCTTGAAGGTCAAGCTCAAGGTCAAACTCAGGGTCACGAGATAAAAGCTCGGAGTAAGCCCTACAACTTTTGTCGGAAAAGTTTCTTTGTCCGACCCTTACTTTTCGAGTTATTCCCCTGTACCGTGACTTTTTGAACACCCTGTATAACGAGCCTAATTCCTTTCGATTTAATTTAATTCACGCGCTAGCTGAAATGATCGCGTTTCATTGTCCATAGTTATAAACAAATAGACGAGGGTAGTATCGGTGTGGGGCTGAATAGCTCAGTGGTAAGATCAGTCGCCCGGCAAGCGAAAGACTCGGGTTCGATTCCCGATTCAGCGACTTCGCCCCGATATTTTTCTCGTCTACGTCTCTTCAGGGGGGTAAAGAGGGTTGTATAGAATTTCTCAAAAATGAGAATCTATATCTTGGTTAAATGCACCAAGTAAAATATATTCATATGCCGTGTTTTTCGTTTAAAATTTCGCGTACAATTAAAAAGAATTTTTCAATCATTTACCATCCTCTGTGGCTCGTAGACGCTACTTTTCTTATCATGTTATTAATTTATTTTAATTATTATTTTGTTGGGCTAATATGCTATGAATGCGGGCGTAACATTTATTTTATAATATTAATTAAGTTAACCGCGAAAATACACCCGGTATGTACGGTGTATAGAGAGATAGGCGGAGCCTACGCGCGCGCCACTGGCGAGTGGTGGGGGCCTATAAAAGGCAGCGCCGGGAGGTCTCGAGACTCTTCCCGAACGGGCGGCCATAGAATTCAGTTCTCGTGGTTCCAAAGCTCTCGTATCGTCGAAACAATTAGTCGCGCATATTTAAGTATCGCGATAATTATAGTAAGCGTCATTATCGAGTGCGGACGCGTTAATCAGCGAATTGATTAATCGAAGCGCTAAAGTCGGACCAGTCCGTCGCGAACATCTTATGACGTAAAACCCGCAAACCGAGATCACGCTTACGAGCGTGTTTTAGGTAATTAATAATAATTATATTTTATTATTATTAATAAAAATTTATTTAATAAATTTTTATTAATAATAATAATTTTTATTAAATATAAATCCAAAGTGTTTATTCGTTTTCGTGGAAACGCGAAACGAAGCCCTTGTGTTTTTCCTAGTCCTGTAAAAAGAGATCGATCCGTGATAAATTCTCGGAACAACGTCGTGCGTAATTGTGGTTGCGAAACATCGTTTCTCCTGGAAGCGCATAACTGCGACGAAGCGTCTTAGAGTCCTGAAAAAGAGAATAACGGGTTAATTGATCTTAACGTCCACGCGTGAAAACGTAATTAGTGACGTGAGTGGCATAAGGAATTCCGAGAGAAATTCCCGACTGAATTATCAGTCGAAAAAAGCGTGTGTGTTAAGTGCGACGCGCACGGAAAATTCCGTCGCGTGTAGTGAGTGCGCACGTGTAAGGTGAACCCAGATCGGGTTACACAAAGCGATAGAGAGTTGCGTCAGCCAAGCAGCGCTGAACAAAGGCTCGTGCGTCGTGACACAACAACAAAGGATATACGTCGTGGGGATTAGCTGCGCATTCAGCAGGGGTTCTCATTTGGCGGATCCGAACATCAACGACTCTCAGCCGAAGGATTGCGAGGTCAACTCGAAGTTATCATCCTTGTCTACAGGTCAAATAGACTGGCGACCGTAATAAGGTAGGATCAAACCTGATAGATCGGATTGATTTCTCGAAACTCTTTCCCACGTCCGGTCACAATCTAACCTTTTTTTTTTTTGGGGGGTGAAATGCATTGACGCATACCCCCCCAAGGAGAGTAAGGGGGGGTTATGTGGGACTCCGGGAATTAAAATGTCCCGACTACCCACTAAAACTCCATAGTGACCACCTCGCACGTACTCGGGGGGGGGCAACGAGATCGATCGTGCACGCGTCCGCGACCTCCCCTGGTCGTGCTACGATCCCCCCCCGTTTGTAGATGGGGGAGGGTCCCTCTGTGAGGGGCGGGGCAGGGTGCGTTGGCACCCCACCCCCCTACAGAAAAATTGACGGTGAGACCGGGTCACCCTGTCCATCCTTCCGGGAAAGGGCTTGGTGTCGCGGGGGGAGCTTCCGCGTTCTCCAGGCGCGAAAGACCTCCACGGCCTCTAGCCGAGGGACAATGTTGTTGCGTCCCCCGGCCCGCCACTGGAGGAGGTGGGATTAGGCTTTCCTGCTAGAGGTGCTACAGGCCTTGGCGGTCGTAAGCGCGCCGCCGTGCACCCCCCTCCTCCTGCGGATTGGGTCAGCATCGGGATCGTCTTCCCTGACCCTCTCCGCGGCCTCCTTCTGCGAAATGACGTTCTCGCATAAGGAGACCATGGCGTCCCAGGCATCTTCGTTCTCCACCGTCTTGGCGACGATGATGGGGAGCGACAGGTCATCGCCCACAATATTCCGCAGATCACGGCGCAGCTCATCCCATGCAGAGCAATGCTCTAGGGTATGCTACGCCGTGTCTCGGACCTCCGCACAATGGTGACAACACGTCGTCGGCTCGCGCATTGCCTTCTCATGCAGGTACTCACCGAAACAACCATGCCCGGTGAGTACCTGCACCGTCCTGAACGGGAGTCCCTTAGGCCGCCGATCCATCCAGTCTTCTAGCACTGGGCGGATGGCTCCGACGGCTCTGAGGCCGGCACTGACATGTGCCAGCCTCTCCTTCCATTTTTCGATAGCGAGCTGCCGGAACTGGGTCCTAGCCACTTCCTTCGTACGCGGTGTCAGGATTTCTCCTTCGCGGCGGAGGTTGGTACGCCACTCGTACATCGCGTACGCCTCCGCCTGCAATTCCCATGGAATTGATCCTGACACCGCTAGCGCCGCCTCTGCGGGAGTGGTTTTATACCCCCGCGTGATCCTTATGGCCAGCCGTCTTTGCAGGCCTCGCACTACTGCGAGGCTTTTGCGGCTGGCCGATAACTGTTCGGACCACACGGGGGCTCCATATAGGATCATGGATCCTACCACCCCCATATATAGGCGGTGCACTCCGTCCCTCGGCCTCCCAAAGTTCGGCAGCAGGCTCCCGAAAGAGCCTTAACTGCTGCCTTGATGCGGGGGGCCATGCGAAGGAAGTGCTCCTCAAATACCCATTGGCAATCTAGGTGCAAACCCAGGTACTTGATGCTGGGCTGTACCTCGATACGGACTCCTTCGATGACTATGTGGAGCTGAGGTGGTGGCCTGTGCCAAGGCTGCTTGAAGTATACAGCCTCGGTCTTATTGAGGACCACCGTCAGCCCCATGGCGCGAATCCTGCCGACGACGTGTTGTACCCCTATTCCTGCGAGGCGGCACGTGTCTTCCCAATCATCCCCCCCGGGCCATGTCGAGCGTATCGTCAGCGTAACACACTAACTTTAGGCCCGGGAGGAGAGCGCCCCGAAGTACGCTGTTGTATCCGAGGTTCCACAAAATGGGGCCAAGAACCGACCCCTGTGGAAACCCACAGCGTACTTCCCTCCGCATCGGTACCCCGTACCGTGCCCGATATGTAACGGCCCTGTCGCGCAGGTAGGCCCGTATAACCTCCTGCATATAGGGCGACACTCGGTGATATTCGAGCGCTCGCCCTGTACACTCCCAGGGTAAGGAGTTGAAGGTGTTGGCAATGTCCAACGAGACGGCCAACGCCACTCCACCCGGGAGACAGTCTCATCCGAGAAGGCCTTGACGCACTTGATGGCGTCAATCGTCGAACGGCCTTCTCGGAATCCGAACTGGCAGTCGGCCCAAGTCCGGACCAGCTGTCGATAGTGCCAATTGAGGCGGGCCGCGAGCACTCGCTTAAAGAGCTTGCCCGCCTCGTCCAACAAGCATATCGGGCAGTACGCGGAGGGTGATTCCGGGGGACGCCCTTCCTTCCGTAGGAGGACGAGTCCCGCCTCCTTCCATTGGGAGGGAAATTGCCCCGCTCTGAGGCAGGCCGTGAATAGCCCCCTCAGGCGGTCCCCGAGGACGCCAAGGGCCAAGACCCAGGCTCGGCCAGGGATACCGTCGGGCCCCGGGGCTGTGTTCTTTGCCCGAAGCCTATGGATTGCCCTGGCCAGTTCCTCTTCCGTTACCCCCAGATCGTCGGTTCACGGTACGTTGTGGACCAGTTGTCCCGAAGGCACGCCCGCCCCCGACGTGGGGGAAGAGGGCGGACACAACGTCCTCCAGGACCTGGGGGTGGAGACTCCGTAATTGGGGCTCCCTGACCGCAGCTTTTTCCTGACGATCAGATAGGGGCGCCCCCATGGATCCTCACTGAGAGTCTCCAGGAGCTCTGCCCAGGCCTTATCTTTGGCCCTTTTGAAGGCGCGCTGTAGCTGCTTCTTCGCCTCTCTGTACACAGCATACAGCGGGCCGCTTCGGCCTCCGTGTGACGCCTGCGACGGCATCTGGTGTACTGGTGTCGCTTTCTTACGCAATCCGCGCGCAACTGCGCGATTTCTGGCGACCACCAGTACACCGCCTTCCTCTGCGGGAGGGCCCGGATCCGGGGCATGGCCACGTCACAGACTTGCGTCATGGCTTCTAGGCGGAACCAGGTGACCTCCCTCTCAATGTCGCAGGCGTCAGGCTCTGGTATATGCTCCAGAGCCTTTGCCGAAGCGGCAGCCATTAAGACGTCCTCAGCTAGGCGTT